AATTCTTTTACTACTACATCTATTGTCTTAGAGTTAAGATCGGCACTAATATTGTAGAGGTACAGTATTATTTGATTGAAAATTGTTTATTATGAGTTAATTTACATATATATGATTTGGAACGAAGAAAAGAGGTACTTATCTGTATTCCCAAAATCGACTTAACCCAAAGTAGAATTCTTTTACTACTATATCTATCGTCTTAGATTTAAGATCGTCACTAATATTGTAGAGGTTGGTATTATTTGACTGAAATTGTTCATTAAGACTTAAATGTTTAAGATTCTTACAATCTGAAAAAAAAAAACCAAAAAAGAGTTAATTCACGTGTATATGATTTGGAACGAAGAAAAGAGGTACTTATCTGCATTTCCAAAATCAACTCAAGAATTCAAGACCCAAAGTAGAATTCTTTTACTACTAAATCTATCATCTTAGATTTAAGATTGGCACTAATATTGTAGAGATCAGTATTATTTGATTGAAAATTGTTTATTAAGACTTAAATATTTAAGATTCTTACTAGTTAATCTGAAAAAAAAAAACAAAAAAGAGTTAATTCACGTGTACACGATTTGGAACGAAGAAAATAGGTAATTATATACATTCCCAAAATCGACTCAAGAACTCAAGACCCAAAGTAGAATTCTTTTACTACTACGTCTATTGTCTTAGAGTTAAGATCGGCACTAATATTGTAGAGGTACAGTATTATTTGATTGAAAATTGTTCATTAAGACTTAAACGTTTAAGATTCTTACTAGTTAAGCTGAAAAAAAAACAAAAAAGAGTTAATTTACATGTACATGATTAGATATTTAAGCAAATAACCATTACATATATTCTATATACTATGGTAATACTATAATATTCATATTAAGTATCTATTAAAAGATCATTACATATTTATTGAAAAAAATAATTACAAAATGATTTGTTAAACCATCTTTTCTCTAATTACTTTTTTTTTTTGAACATTTAGACCTATTATGCCTGTACTCGCCACAATTCCCACATTGGTTTTGACGTTTTGCCGGCTTCAATTCCTCTGATCGCTTGATTCGTTTAGAACTTTTTGGTCGTCCTTTTGCCTTACATTTTTTTGGGTTTTGAAGAGATATATCAGATAATGAATTAGTTTCTTCATATTCTTCATTATTGTCTAAGCTATTACTGTACATCTCCTCATTATCATCATTGGCTAGGCTGTTTACTAACTCTTCATCCTATATTTCAGTTAATAAATTTTGTAGCTTTTCAAGAACATCTTGTCTATGAAGTTGAACTGCCTTTTGCGTGATATTTCGTGCAACTCCCTATAATTCTCCATATAGCTTTCATTCATTAATGTTTTCTTTTTTTCGTTCCAGAGATCAGCCGGTATAAACAATCTATTTATGTTAGACCTTGTGAATTCTGTAGGTTAATCTTGAGAAAAGTTCTTACTAAAACATGTGGCAACATAATAAGGCTCTTCCTGTAAATCGCCATGAATGTCCTTGTACTATCTTTTATGAATATATGTAATATGGAATGCAGCTACATGACTACATAGTATTACCTGAAAAAAGTGACAGCAAACTACCCCATAATTTACAAGCCCCAAACAAGAGTATACATAAGTCTTATCAGAAAGAAGGACAACAAAATGACAAAATGTCGAAGCCATAATTATACGGATGGCCCAGATTTCCTCTATTTCGTTAATGTCTATATTTTCCAATATATACTTAATTGAAATTTGCATAATATCTTTGTCATCTTCTACAAACGAGATATTATCTGACTTGGGCTTAAATAAAATAAGATTCTGTAAGTTCAGCAACATTATCCCTAAAAAACAATACCATATTTTCGCGAAATAATGCCCCTGCACGTTATTTCACGAAAATACAGTTATAGTATATACCTCTTGATATTTAATCATTTCATCTTTTGTGATAGCAGATACATGATAATTTAGACAACTTTTAATTTCAGCACGCTGAATTTTTTGTATTTCAGGTGTAATAAACCGACTCAAAGCTTTATCGAGTTCGGGAAATAATGTTTGCGGTAATGTAGCGGCAGACGATGTCAATGGAATTTGTGTCTTCCAATAAGCATACTTTGCTTTTTTAATCTCCTCTTCTATACTTGCTTCCAAGGCTTCA